TCTACTGAGGAACAATCAGCTACACACATGTGTAAAATGATCAATGACATCTGTAGCCTTTGTAAAATATGCTAAATGTTAACTGTGATTGGCCGCTTATAATTTGAATATATAGCATATGCCTACAAAAAGCAACTGAGGATGCAGCATCCTGCTCACATGATGCTAAATTGTGGGTCGTGATTCATGTTTCTTTTTTTATTACATTTGCTCAATGCGTGCACTTTGACCCGCCGTCGACAACGCCATCAGCCTAGTTATGCAATTTAAAGCATTTTTTTGCAATTTTTATGAAGTCTATGTCCGAGTGGCTGGACTTGTGTAGTGTGTACTCCAGGTTTTGTTTCGGCAGATTATAATCGATAACAAATGGTGGTGAAACAAGTGTACATTTCTTGAAATGTATTTGAGATAAATACATGACAAATAGTCAACACTCAATAGAAAACAACGATATGTACACATTTCTCAGGAGGTAAGACACATTATCAATCTCTTCAGTAGGTAGTTTCGATTTGTGAGCGGAATGGGGAACGTTAGCAAATAAAATATATCTGGTTCATCGGATCAAAATACCTACCCAACCCACTCATTCTATAAATAATCCTAGCTAATTTACTCAAATGTCACACATTTCAACGTCCTTACACTTTAATATCATGCAAAGAACACATGAGAATTAGAAGCATATGGTGTGCCTTCCTATATAACATAACAGGTAAACCCACTGACATCCAAGAGTCCTAAGTCCTTGTATTTTTTTTTCCACCGAAGCACTAACAATCAAAAGTATGCATATAGTTGTGTGCATCGCTGAACTGGCATCAAATGGCAAACCTCAATAGCCAAGCTCACGCAGTATCAGTCGGACATCAGAGCCTCGATGCTGAACCTGGCCGCCTTGACCGAGGTGGGTGCCGCCGCTGCCGCCAGCTGCCTGATCTTGTCGCCGGCCATCAGCTGCTGCACGGTCACCGGCGGCTCCCGCCCAGCGCGCTCCGGCTCCCGCTTAGCGCGCCCCGGCTCCCTCGGGCTCCCGGACGCTCCCCGCTCCGGCTCCGCGCCCCGCCGAGTCTCCCTGCCGTATTGTATTGTATTACCTTCATGGACAATCCACGCGGGGCGTGGCGATTACAGTCCAGAGTCTGAGTCGGGCACAAACAAAAACATGCGGGGACAAGAAACACAGGCATACAGATTCAATCGCTTGACATTCGCTCTCTCTATATACAAACGGACGATTCAGACAGCACACCGCACACGGATGTCGCACCTCCTTCCCCTGACACGGGTCATCGTCGGGCGGTCGCCATCGCCGGACAGACTGCAGCCTTGGCCGCACGGGCGAATGGGGCGGGGCGCTGTTCGATGACACCGGGAGGCAGACTGTTTAGTAGCGCCGCGGCCCGGTAGCCGAATCGTCGCTTGCCAGTCTCGAGCCGCGAGCGTGGAAGGTGGAAAAGGTGGTCCTGCCGGGTGGACCTCTCTCGCGCGTCACTGTTATTCGTGAAGATGGCAGCTAGTGCTTCGGGCTCGCCGTTGCTTATTATTTTCTGCGCAGTTACCATGGTTTTAACATCGGCCATAGCTTTCGGAGGCATCCATCCGAGTGAATCGCGGAGGCCAGAGACGTGATCGAATTTCCGGCGGCCGAATATGACCCGTGCTGCAAAGTTTAGAATTTTTTGAAGTCGGTCGAAGTTTTTCTGGGAGCCATTTCCATATACAGTGAGGCAGTACTGGACGCGCGAGATGACGAGTGCAGTCACGATCGTTTTGAGGATACCGTCTGGGAGGCAGTGTCGTGCGTGGGAGAGGCCGATCAGTACGCCCATGCAGCGACGGCTCAGCTCGGCCACGTGTGCTTCCCAGGTGAGTGCGCCGTCGAATACAACACCCAGGTTTCCCACCTGCGCGCACGGCAGGAGCTCAGCGTCACGGAAAGAGATTTTGAAGCGAGGCAGGTTACGTAGGTTTTGTCGGCTACCGAATACCATCAGTTGAGTTTTAGAAGCGTTGACTTTCAGGGCGTGTGCGCAGAACCATGCGTTAAGTGACTCTAGCGATGTCTCCATGCGCGAGATGAGACTCCTGATGTCGTTGCGTGGGCCGCTCACCAATATCTGGGTGTCGTCTGCGTACTGATAAGCGGTGGCGTCTCCGGCAAATAGTGAGAGGTCGTTGGAGAATATAGTGAAGAGGAGGGGACCCAAAGCCGAACCCTGGAAAACTCCTACGGTGTTTGGGAGCGGTCGAGAGGTTATCTTACGGCCGGTTTTGTCTTTCAGGGATACACTCTGCGTGTGTCCCTGAAGATAAGCCGAAAACCAGGAGGTCTCAATACCGTAGATTTGGAGCTTTTTGACAAGGAGTTCATGGTCAATGACGTCAAAACATTTGCTAAGGTCTATGAGGCATAGCATTGAGATCTCACCCCTATCGGTGGCGGCAAGGATGCTATCTGTGACTGACAGCAGTGCAGTCTCAGTGGAGTGTCGGGGGCGGAATCCGTGTTGGGTAGACGAAAGAAGGTGGTTATGGGTGAGATAGTGATAGAGCTGCTGATGGATTACACGCTCGATGATTTTCATGATTACGGGAACTAGGGAGATCGGTCTGAAATTGCTGGGGTCAGATGGGTTGCCCGACTTGAAGATCGGTTGAACGATAGAGTGTTTCCAGGGGTCAGGAATGTCGGAACGGGTGATTGAGACGTTAATGATGTGTAAAATGATGTCGCCAATAGTTTGGAAGCATACTTTTAACATGCGGATGCATATACCGTCAGTGCCACGCGCGGCAGAGTTTCGCATGCTGAACACTGTGAGTCCGAGTTCCCCGAGAGTGATGGCCCTCGGCCTAAAGCTGCATGCGCCGACACGGGGTAGACGTACATTTAGATCAGTATCGTTGTTTTGGGTACTCAGTTCGGTGGCAATGCGGGGCCCGACAGAGACGAAGAAGGAGTTCAGATCGTCGGGAGATAGATCGGGCTGAATATTTGGACCATCTTTCTTTCCAGCGATCACTGATTTGATGCTTTGCCAGACTTTGTTTACCCCACGCTCGCTGATCTCGTTTTGGAGGACGTGACGGCGGTCTCGGCGTAAGGCGGCACGGACGGAGCGGTTAAGAGCCTTATACTCGGGAGACTCGCGGCCTAGCCGACGTAACGCGGAGCGACGCCTGGACATAATGTCGCGGGTGGCGGCAGATACAGGGGGCGCTGTAGGATTTCTTATCAGCACATTTTTGAGGGGGGCATGGTCGTCGAAGACAGGTAGAAAGTTGTCTAAAAAGACCTGCCACTTGTCAGCAACAGACGTCGAGTTATAAACTTCCTGCCAATCGACACTCAGCAGCTCTTGGTTGATAGAGTGAACGTCCACTTGGTTAAGTGATCTAGATTGGATGACAGTTGGTTTTAGGCGCTGCTTAGGCACGTCGACGGTCACGTGGATGAGTTTGTGTGGGCTGAAATGGCAATGGACTACGCTATAAGAACGCACAAATTTTCGGTTTTGTACAATACACACGTCCAAGAGAGAACCGGTAGTGAATGTTGATGTTGTCACGAGTTGATCCAGGGAGTAGTCAGAGAGGAACTCGCTGATGTGTTGACGGGCGGGAGAGCTAGCGCTCTTTAACAAGTCACAATTCAGATCGCCGCATATAACAAACGGGACGTTGGGGTGGTCGATAAGGACACGCTGAAGCTGGGTTTCCAAGTCTGTAAAATCCGCACGCAGTGCGGTCGCGGAATAACGCGGCGGTCGGTACACCGAGCAGACAATCAGATTGCGATTTTTTGGTAATTTCAACAATGCCCACTGCGATTCCAGAAGACTGTCCGGGCACTGCGAGCTTGGTGGCTTCAGTGCTACAGGCGTAAGGTCCGCTTTGGTGATGATGGCGACGCCACCAAAGCCTCGGCCGTCAGGTCGGTCCACCCGGCTGATGGAGTAGCCAGGGATGACCAGGAGGCGATTGGGTGTGCTCGGTCGTAGCCAAGTTTCGGACAGAAGCATGACGTCGAGATCTTGGCGGTTAAGTTCGTCCGACAGCTCCAGCAGTTTGGGCTTGAGGCTCTGGACATTGAGGGCTCCGATTTGCAGTCCGGTGCCGGGGCGATGAGCGGTGGGCGCGGTCGCGGTGCGGCCCCCGCCCCGCCCCCTCCGTCCACGCGCGCCGCGGCGCTGCGGCCGCCGGCCGCCGCCTCGGGCCGACCTAAGGGCGCCGGTAGCTGGTGCGGCGGGTTGACCGGCTGGAGCGGGTGCGGAGGCGAGGGCGGTGGGGAGCTGGGCGTGAGGCTCGGGCGATCCGCCGGTGGGCGGCGGTTGTGGACGGCGTCCGTCGCTGCGGGCCGGCTTGTGGCGCGTGGAGCCTCTGATGGGCGGGGCCTGGGCTGCCGGCTGCGCGCCGTGGGACGCGGGCAGCGCGAGCGGCCGCTCCCCACCCCCGCGGGCCGGCGGGGCTCTCAGCTGGAGGGGAGGGTGAGGCGACACGGCCGCCAGCTGGCGCCCGTGGGGCTCGGCGCGCGGCGCGGGACTGCGGGCCGTCGTCCCCGAGGCTCGGGAAGATTTGAAAACCGGCAGCCGATGGGTGGCTAGAGCTGGGGCCGGGTCACAAGTAGAGTTAGATGAATTCCGAGAAAAATTGCGTGGGAAAGCAGGTTTTCTTACGGTGAGGTGGTGCCTGAGACGGTGATCGGCAACTCGAAGCGTGGACCTGGGTGGCGGCGCTGGTGCCGGGCAGGCCACGACGGTCAGTACCCGCACTACGGCGAGCAGAACCAGGAGCCGGGCGATATCACGGTGCATGTTGAGGCGAAAGGGGTATTGGCCACGATGAGATCTTGAAGAGGTTGCAAACGACGTATCCATGTAGAAACTGTTCAAGTAGCACAAAACCACACTCACACTCACACTAACACACGGAGTAGGCAGAAGGGGGTAACGGGGAGGAGTGAGCAGCGCTCGCGTCCGCTCGCGGCGGCGCGCTCAGCTGAACTGTGTGTCCAGCCGCTGCTCCTGGGAGCCGCTGCCGCGCCGGTCAGCCCCGGGTCTCTGCTCCTGCTGCTCCCCACTGCCGGGCAGCTGCCGCTGACTGCCGGGTAGGTGCTGCTGACTGCTGGGCAGCTGCTCCCCACTGCCGGGCAGCTGCTCCCCACTGCCGGGCAGCTGCTGCTCCCGCTCGGCTCCCTCGCCCCCCTGCTGCGGACCCAGACAGTGGGTGAGCGCGTGTCGGCGCAGGTCGCACGCGCGCCGAAACAGTTTGTCGCAGTCGGGGCAGCTGTACGGCCGGATGTCCGTGTGGGTCAGCAGGTGGGTCTTCAGGTTGGAACGCTGGTTGAAGCTGCGGCCGCAAGTGGGACAGCGGTGCGGCGACTCCTCCAGGTGAAGGATTTTGTGCACCGCCAGAGTGCGCGACTGACAGAAGCCCTTACCACATACCTCACAGACGAACGGCTTCTCCTTGGCGTGGATGTATCTGCGAACAGGAGAGGAGGAGACGTCAGCGACATCGTCATGGCTGACGCTGATTCCAATGACGTCTGCACGGCGCCGGTGACCGGCACGTGATACAGCTCACGGCGCGGTGGTAAGTACGGCGCCGCTGTGTCATCCGCCGCCCGCACAGAGCCGGGCGGTGTCACTGTGGTTAATCTCTCCCGACAGCTCACGGCGTTCCCAGCACTGTGGGGAGTTCCAGACAGCAGCCGGCCGACCGGAGGTGGCTGGCCAGCCGAGCAGTGTCCCCGGCTCCGTTCCCGGAGAGCCGTCCGACTCACCGGCCGGCCGGCCCGGCCCGGCGCTGGCCGAGCCGCTCCCCGCCGAGCGGCAACCACAGCGCGCCGCCCCTCCATAAACATCGCTGATGGGGTATTAGGGCGCCATTCAGGCCCGTGATTAGCGTGCGCGCCCATTGTCGCCACCAGCCTTTATTGGACGTAAGTCAAACGCCGGCAACAGTTGACGATGCATAATGCTGAATTTATGACGTCGTGTGCTGGATGTATTATGTAGCGCGAGAATCGTGCAGCGCCAGACTTTCCAGCAACGATATTGATAATTTATCACCGCTACAAACCTAGCCGGTAATGATTTGACGGGAGTTATGAGACAGTTTATCGTTGGCCTCTGCTCTTTCAGAGTCGATTAGACGATGGCATTGACGCGATCGTTTCCAGGTGGTGGGTTCTAGCTAATTTGAACAATGTACGCTACAAGTAGTGTTCTCACTTCCTGGAAGGTTAAGTCACCTCTTGATTTATAGAGTAGGGGGCTCAACGCTATATTGGTATGTGTAAGCCTTGGTTTCGAATGGAGTAATAAACAATTAACAAACAACATTACAGTGCAATTACTAATGGTCCATAAATGATAAAAGAATAAGGTGTGGTTACCGAGACGTAGTTTGCAACACTCGACCTAGGCAACAAAGCAACACATCATTGTGAGGGCATTTGCTGTTCACTTGATGTCCAAGGAAGATATATTTATCTGGCGCTCAAGGAGATTTGGAGCATCCACCTCGTTTGTGGCAGCCCAGCCCAGCTCAGCGCCGGGTGAGGTGTGCCGTTCGCCGCAGCTGCTCCTCACTGATCCTTCACAACTTGTTCCGATGGTAGGGTCATGTAGTATGTAATCGCTGCGGAGTTTCACCTCGCCAGTTTGAGGGAGCGGTCGACGGAGTGACGTGGATTCATTATCGACTGCGATATGGCCCGCCACTCTAGATATAGTGTGAACACTGGACAAAGGTACTGGACGGACGGTGCACCTCCCTACCTCATAACCGGTGGAACGGATGCACTCTCTGACGGCGGAGCGCAGCATTCAGTTCACATCCCCATGGGGCGATACCGGTAATTTGTCACCATGGATCTCGTTTTCTCTCTTAGTCTCAATATCATGACGAAGCTGCTTATCGCAAGCTTCAATCCTTAAGGTTTTTAGGCTAAAGGATAAAAAGGCTTTTCCCCAAAATCAGTCAGGAGCTGAGGAGTAGCTGCAGCGAATCACACGTCTCTATCGATGGCACTCATTTCTATTGAGTGACATATTCATTGTTTGAAAATTGCCTACGTCAATTCATTTGCAGGCCTGTAATACAAAACCAATAACTTATTTCCACACAAAAATCAGTGGTTGAAACAAGTTTATGAATGGCTAGTCTACGCAGAGAACAAAAACATACGTAGGCGAACACAGATTGAGCCGTGAGGCCGCGGCTGGTCGGCCGGGGTCTCCGAGCATCTCTCACCTGTGGTCTCGGAGGTGGTCCTGCCGGCGGAACGCCTTCCCGCAGACGTCACACGGGAACGGCCGCTCGTCCGTGTGCGTCCGCTCGTGGATCAGCAGGTTGTAGCTCTTGCTGAACTCGCGCTGGCAGTACTGGCAGATGAACTGCTTCTTGGGCCGGGTGGGTCGGCCGCGGCCGGCGGGCGGCGGGCGGCGAGCGGGCGGCAGGCGCAGGCCGGCCAGCAGCCCGGGCGCCAGCGGCCCGGCCGGCGGCAGCACCGGCAGCAGCGGCGGCAGCAGCGGCACCGGCTCCGTGGCCGACTCGGCCAGTCGGCTGAAGTCGAACTTGCCGGCCGAGCTGCCCAGCGCCGCCGAGACGGAGCCGAACGCCGAGAGCAGGCAGTGCGAGCGCAGCGCCAGGTACGACTCGAGCGCGGCCAGGCGGGCCGGCGAGTCGACCGGTGACGTCATCTGGGCGCCGGAGAGGAGAGGCGACCGTCCGCGTGCCGGCCGGGCGGGGGCAGACTGGAGCGCGGCGGCGGCCGCCGACGGTAGCCGCTGCGGCCGCCACCGCCCCCGGCTTACGCCGCCGCGAGCCGCCCGGCGCCGATTGGCTGAGATAGCCGCCGATCGGCGGCCGCAGAGCCACGCGAAAATGGCGCCCCAGACGCACCGCTCATCCCCCAGAGTGAGAGGGGTGACGGGGGCGCGGCACCGATCGGCCGATAGCCGCTGAGAAATGCTCACAGATCCACTGAGAAATCGCACCGGTCGGCCAGCGGACTGGACCGCCGCGGCCGAATTGAGAGATAAGCGGTGACTGATCTGGCGGGCCGGCCGGTCGGCCGCCGCTGACGGGTCCCCGGGTCCTCTTAGCTTGGGCGTGGGCCGCTCCGGCGGACAACACCATCCGTTAGCCTGTCCTGAATTTACCGGTCGGTCGGTATCGGCAGCGAAGGCCTGCAACATTACGAGTTAACTTATTGTTAAATGTTAGTGACTCAATAATACAACAATTATGTAACCGTTTACGAAAATAGCAGTATTGAAATCTTTTGAATCAACGAATTGTGGAAGCCAGAGATTGCACCAGAAACAGAGCCACCCAGTGACTTCAGCTTCAGAGCCAGAGGCAACCAGTGACTTCACTATTACCCCTAAAAACCGCAGTCCACCAGACCCACTCAATAACTCAACAGTTTCAAGTATCGGACAACGGAGCGGGTCAACCTCGAACTGTTGCCACCGAAATTGCCGGAGAGTTGTAGGCACACGTTGTGCATTAACCATAAATAGCAAAAATGTGTCGTGTAAGCATTTACCATCAAAATGAGCTCTTAGATATACTTAGATAAAGTTGAATTAAAAAAGGAGTTATGCTGACATATGAATCGTTCATCACAACACAACAAGTGCCAGTCACTGTTACCAGAGACAGACAGGTAGACAGGTAGGTGACAGACTGAAGCACATGGGTCACAACCCTTCCTTGCATATCTTGAGAAACATATTCCTACTGACCAGCAGGCTTTCATTCACACCTGCTTCTGATAATGATGGTATTCAGTTTACTTACAAGTGACCAGTAGGTAGGTAGGTATATACCTACATTCGATGTTGATTTGCCTTGGTATGAAATATTCCTTCGTCACTTAACGATAAGCCTATATCAGAGGTCATTTAGTCATCTTTCCTGTAGTGAAACTACATATGCCTATATTTTTTAAGTTAACTTCTTAACTCTCAAACCAGAGGCCTGTTTCACTAACAAATAAAGTGTGTAATTACAAAGAAAAAACTTGAGTTTAAAAGAAATATTTACCAACATTTGAAATTTGGATTTCACGAAACCTACGAGCATTAATTTTGAGTGTAAAATTTACCAACTTTTTTACAAGAAAAAAGTTTGAAAGAAACATCGAAATCGCAAACTTTCTGTTTCACGAAGACCAAAAACTTGAAAGAAAACGTTGTACTTACAAACACGAAATTCCAGTGGCTCTTACGTTCGGAATTTTATTAATTTTTGTGCAATGATGCAAAGCAATCAATTATTTAAAACAAATATGATATGCTGAATCATTGTATGCTCTTTTTTACTTAGCACAATCCCTACGAACCAGCTACGAGCAATAAATAAATATCGTCATGTTTTGTCATTCGCGCGCCATAATTGCATTCAACAGTCTTCTGCTGTCAAATGTTTTGGGTGTTATTTTCTTTCAATAATAAAATATTGTGAACTATCATTTATACCATTTAGAAACAGCATCATTATTTATAATTTATTCCTGCATCTTTTGACATGATACTAGACATAATTTGATAAGAAGAATCAATATCTGTAACATGTTGTAGTTCTTGATTAAAAACATTTTTACTGTTTACAAGTTTTTTTGCAAACTCTTTTTATCGGAGGTGCCGCTGATGATGAAGTTTAGTGAAATCCGATTTTACATAGTTTGCACAGTGCTGCCAGATTTGGAGGATTTCCGCAAATCTGGAGGATTTTGAACTCTATTTGCGGACAAATTTTGCTTTTGGAGGATTTTTGATTCTGGAGGAAAATCTGGAGGATTTGTCGTACGATTAGTATATTCAATTTCATGGAAAAATATAACACATTCAAGACTAAAAAGGCATTTTCCTGCCCAGCGTCACCCTACCCGTTATGATATATTACGTCCTTTATCACCGTGAGACTGCAAAATGTCTCAGTCTTTAGCTATATCTACGAGGGTACCAAACTACTGGCGGATCTAAGGGGGACATTTGGGGAATGGGGCAAATGCCCCCGGCCCTCTGCAGCGCCTGAAGTCGACGAAAATTTTCGTTTTTTTTTTTGGAGGATAAAACGAAAACTAAACAACTTTTATTAGAAAAAGTATCTTTTAAACTGCACAGCAGTGCGAAAGGATTCGAAATCCGATGAGTTTTTAGAATTTGGGGAAACTTTTTTTGGGGGTATAGCCCCCCGCAGCGTCCAAGACCGCCTTTCTATATCTACCAATAGGATTTGGAGGAATCTGGAGGATTTTTGTAACTGATCTGGAGGATTACAGCCTTCCCCATCTGGCAGCACTGAGTTTGCAAAAATACTTATGAATTGTAAAGTTCAAACACTTGTAATCGCAAGTTTTTAGTGAAACAGGCCTCTGATGTTACATAAGGTGACATTTAATAGTGGTAGTTTTTTTTCTTCTGTGACTCAGTTGGAGAAGTCTCAGTCAAGCTACGCATTGCAATACCTAGTGGAATAGCACCCTCTTCCGATTTAATGACTTCGATGTAGGATAAGGTACCCATGAAATGATTCATTTAATTTTTTAACGGATTTAAAGGCAGCTTAAAAAACTTGAGGGGGCCAAGTCAGTAAGTCACTCCCAGCCAGGGTGGGCTAATTTTGGACTCTTTTGTGTTAGAGATGATTCGATCAGTGTTGTGTCCTGCTGTATAAAACAGCTTGTGTTCCATTGATAAAATAATATTAGCCGTCTTCACGACGCGATGTCTGGCAAATGTATAACCAAAGTCCAAACTGGACCATTTGTTACCATATCCATATCTTTTGTTTTTGTTACCACCATATCTTTTTACAACAAATATCTTTATATCATAAATTTAGTTCAGTGTTTTATTCGACAATAATATCTGATTATTTGAGAAAAAAAACATGCATATAAGCAACTGATCCACCCTAGCTGATAACTTCTAAGAAACACAATGAACCCAAGTTGACCAAAGCTACATCAAATCTGCACCAAATGTGAACTAACTGTGTACCAGATAGACGCCGTGAAAACGGCTCTTATTATTCATTATACCCATGCTACCTACTAAAGCCCTGCAATGTCCAACCAGAAAAAAAAAAACAGCTCGGCGATTGATTTAATCATAATGCTGATCTCAAACGTGACACGCCATCCCCCCATTTTATCTATTGTCATCGCTAAGCAGTCACATCCCCAGCGGATTCACGACACCGCTGCAGTCTCACGTCGAGTGCGTGTCTACCCCACTGGGAACACAGAGAGGCGTCTGCTATCTGTCCGGCGCCTGTCTGCGGCTGATCAGACGGCGCCGCCCGCCCTGTCGCCTGTCCCGACGACATCGGTTCACACGAATAATCCGGCTACAGTCACGCGCACGGACATAATTTAGCAGACTGATAATCGATCGCCTCAGTAATGAACGCTCGTCTGTGGCCATCTCACTCGCTGGGTGACACTGATTGTAGGTGCTAGTGAAATTTTCGTGAAACTTTTTAATCTTTTCATTAGTCGTTTTTACGATCATTATTTGGCAAACATTTGGTCACAGTAGGTGGAGTCTAAGCAAATTTGGAATACAAGCTTCTACTTAGAAATTCGGATTACGAGTTTCTCGTTTAGAACTTCTATTTAGGTTTTCAGCTTTGGCAGGAATTAATGCTCCTATATGTAATTCATAAAATTATAAGACAGACATTGACATTGACATTAAGACATTGTTTTCTAGTAAAACATTGAAGAAAATTGAGAATATACCTAAAGATATTTGTTGAATATACATTTGTATCTTAGGATAACGGGATAACCTTATGGCCAATGGCTGCGGAATATTCAAAAATTAATTACAAAATGAGCATATTTATTTGCACTGTCATTCCTCGGTTCAGAATTACAAATTGGAATTCCCTCTGCAATGAAAACGATGCATGCCAATTTACTTATTTGGGAATATGCAATTTTGTCATTTTCGACCAGGCCCTGACATGATCCCGAGCGACCCCCACCAAACACGATTTGGCAGCACTGTAATGGCGCCTGCTGGGCGTGAAGTTTTCCCTTCACCATAGGGTTTACACACAAACTGGTCAAAGTTTGAGCCAGGACATACTAGTCTAAAAATGCAAAAAACGAACAAATTTTGGCATCAATAGATTCAGCATTTCATCGTGTGCCTCAAACCGTCCATCATTTGGCCTCAAAGGAGGTAAAAATTGTTCAAAATCGAAGTTGAAAAGATGCTTTCTGAGCACATAATCTGGTAGCAATCACGTGACCTGCTATAAGCAGCTTATCGATAATTTACAAACATAATTATTAATATGCTGCTTTAAACAACATAAACCATACAATTTGAGCTTTCAGTGCTTTAAATAAGGTCAAAACATCGCAAAACACAAACACAATTTGTGACTGGGGCTTTACTTTCAAACATCGGATCTACCTGTTTCTTATAGGTATCTTGATCCCGAGCATGGGTGGAGCTTTTCCAGGGAAGTTGGTGGGGCAAAAAGTCGTCAAACCTACAATGTCCGATTATGAAGTTGAATAAAATGCCACACTGAATCAATCCCTATCATGACAGACAGTGGCGTATCCAGGATCTTGAAAAGGGGGAGGCCAAACCTGCTCAAGGGGCCCCACCCTTACCTTAGGGTAAGTAAAGTAATCTTGACCTTAGGGGCCCCAGTAGTAGCGTACTTAACCCACGCCTAGGTGCGGTTCTTGGCCACTTTCGCCATGTGAGGGAGCATTTTTAGGCACACTCGGCAATCTAAAAAAGAAAAAAGGAAAAAAAAGAACGTGAAAAAGTCATCGGTATCGAATCGATAGCTCTGTAGTGTACGGGCGCTATTTTGTTCCAGCAGTAGGCATACAGTTTTTTTGCTTTGGTTTTCGCTATAAAGATTATCAAAAGCAAAATGTTTTTTGTCAATTTTTTTTATTGGAAAATTTTTTCAAAGGGAAGATGTCAATCTCTTAGTGCCTTCCGCTGGCTGAGGGCTAATGCCCTTAACTTTAGAAGGGGCCGACTCGGGTTGAGCTCTGATCTAGACTCTGATGGCTCTATGTCGCCCACATTGACATTGGCCTGAGTCAGTCTCTGATGTCCCTATGCCGCTCTCGAACCCACGCCGGTCTTTAGAAGGCAGAAGCCCATGATGCCAGCTGAGGGTCCCACTCCGGCCTTTGCCGTTTCGCCCCTGATCGAGCTATAGCTTCGCGGAAAATGAGCGTGTTGCCCGTGGCAAGAGGAAGCCGATGATACCCAATTTTAAAGGGACCCTCCCACCTTAACATTAGTTTTGAGTTGAGATAGCCAAGTTTGCGGCCAGGCTCAGAAACCACCATTTATCCTGGTCGCAACCCCCGCAGCTTTATGGTGTTCAAGAAATTTCTTCCCTTTACTTGCAGGGTGGGACCAGCGTGGTCCCTATCTCTTAACCATTACGGGAATCTGATGACGTCATCAGGCTTTCAAACGTCCGTTAAATGTTTGACTAAAACGTTTTGTAGCACGCGGTGGTATATGCTGCTTTGCGCACAACAAATGCCGCACTTTCAAATAAAGTCGCTAGGAACAGCGGAGATCGCAAAAAGTAAACAAAAGTAAAAGTCTAATATCTTGAAAACCGGTGAATATTTTTCGATGAAATTTGGTAGATATTCGTTTTTGCTCTTTCTGAACCGAGCGACATCACTTTCATGCCAATTCATTAACTTTTTTGAAGGTGGGAGGGTCCCTTTAAAGTCCTAGGTCATCGGTTGACCTTCCAGGTTAGGCCAATGACCCAAAAGTCTGGAAAATCGGGACCTGTTAGAACGTCGTAAAGGGTCGCGGCTATTGGGTTGTTCGGGGTGCTGATATTTATGATCATAGATGGTGTCTTCATGCATTT